TTTTCCCTTTATCCAAAAGCAATCAAAAACAAATTAAAAACAATTAAAAACGGTTATAATCAATTAAGAAAAAACACCAGAGGGGAAAAAACACCAGACATCCGAACCACCGAGAACTTCCACAAGGGGACTCAACGGGACACACCACAACTTCACCGGGCAGGGGATAAGATGTTACCCAGACCGAGCGGACCGATCATGTAAAAAGTTTAAAAACGTAAAAAGTAATTATGGAGAGCGGATAACAATAATAAAAACAAGACTACACAAAAATCATCTAAAAAGATTTTTCAAAGTTAAAAATGGAGCTAAAATACATAATAACAATATACACAATAAAATAGTAAAAAGTGATTATGAATATGAAAAATGAAATATCTACATGAAAAATAACTCACATATGAGTTATAAAAGATTTTTAACATGAGAATGAATATAATACAAAAATGGTGAAAGGTCTATTTAAAGATAGATCGGTCAAAGGATAAAAGTAAAAACGAAGCTGTAAACTATGGGTCCCCAGATCTGGTCAGCGTCTCGCACAACTCGAAACTAACCCTAAATGATTCTGACATTTTCCCGATAGCCTGTTTGTTATTTAAAAGGTTAGAAAACCAGGCTCGTTTATGGGCGTCTGCGGGTTTCGTAAGATGGTAATTTTTGGTGAGCGAGCAAAAAAAGGTATAGTGGTCAGCATCGCCCACCTGTCCGCAGACGCAGAGCGGAGAGTTAAGTTTTTTAAAACGGTGTAAATACTGTGGGAACGGACCATGCCCACTTAAAAAGAAAATTAAAATTTTATTATGTACTAAAAACTTGGGGCAAACCGAACCAATAAAACCTCTGACTCTGATCCCTGAGGCCGAGTTATACCTGTTCCAATATTCTGTCCAGGCATGTATGATGTATGCTTTGACCTTCCTATTTAGATACGATCGAGGAGCTGGAATATCCAACTCCTCTCCGGAACAGATGGCTTGTTTGGCTTGTTGGTCGGCCCATTCATTTCCTGGGATGCCAACATGGGCCTTAACCCAGGAAAGGCCGACCAGATTTTTGGCTAAATATAAATCTTGTTTAGAGTTATTAACGAATTGTGATCTGGAGTGGGCGCTCTTCAATGCCATTATGGAAGAAAGGCTGTCGGTATGTATATTGATTTTGTAATTGTTTTTGGCGGCCCAATTAGCAGCATGTCGAATGGCCGCCATTTCTGCCTGAAAGACCGAGTTATGTGATTTTAATTTATAGAGAAAATTATCTATGTTTTGATTGTTCTGAAAGGTACACACGGAGAACCCAGTTTCATCTTCCATTCTGGATCCATCCGTGTATACCTCGAAATCTGCATTTGTAATCTGTTCTGGAAAAGACAAAAACTTTATATCGGATGCAATATTTTTGATATTAACGTTAGTATCAAGTGCAACGGAGTCAACAATATTATTATGTTCGTCAGAGCGCCCCATCCAGATCTGAAATTTTTTAAACTCGGCCTCTGCAGTTATATGTAGGGGAGGGATACCGGTCAGAACATTGAGCACATTTGTAGAAGTAGTTCGGTAGCCCCTAGAAAATTTAATTAAAAATATACGTTGAATGGAGTGCAGTCTATCTACCTGGATTTTTGTAAGAGCCCCGCCCCAGACGCCAGCGCCATAGAGCAGGGACTTCTCAATTGTTGTCAGATACCAGGATTTAATGAGATCTTTATCTACACTCCATTCCGTCTTTATGATACGATTAAAATTAGAAGTCAAAGTTAAAATTTTTTCGTGTAATGAGTTTATGTGGGCGGTCCATGTAAGCTTTTGATCTATGTGGATTCCCAGTATTTTAAGGCTATCGGTTATTTTAATAGAAGTAATGTCAATTTTAAAAGTAGGTTTTCTATTTAGGGTAGTCGAGTTTCGCTTAGAGAATTTTTGGGAGGATATACTCCGATAGACCACGGCCTGACATTTATGTATTGATAAGGATAATTTAAGGGAGTCTCGGTCTTTAGAGATTTTGGCCAGAGCTGAATTGGTGTTTTTTTCCAGTTCTCTGGCCGTTCGACCCCCTATTATCAAGGCCAGGTCATCGGCGAAAGCTTGAATGTATACCTCCCCGTCATTATTTAAAAGAATCGAGTTAATATATATGTTCCATAAAATGGGTGCGATTACCGACCCCTGGGGACAACCCCTAAAGTATTGCTTAGTAACACTAAAAATTTCATTAACATAGGTGACCTTCCTGTTGTCCAAGTAAAAATATAAAAAGTTGGTAAAAAATTTCGGTAGTCAAATTCTCTTAAAAATATTAAAAAGAACCGGCCAGTTCATATTGTCGAAGGCAGATTTTATATCTAGGGAGACGAGGGCAAGATGTTCCAATTGAATTCTAGATTTTATTGTCTCCACTAGATTCGTAATGGCTAGATCACAGCTTTTGCCCTCCTGAAAGCCGAATTGATTTGGATGTAAAATATCATTTTGATCTAGCCATTTATTGAGTTTAATCGAAAAGAGCCTCTCGACAATCTTACCCAAGGTCGGTAGTAGGCAGACTGGCCGGTATGAAGAACATACGCCAGGATCTTTCCCATCTTTCAATAGACAGAAGATTCTGGCATTTCGCAAACAATATGGAAAATAATTTAGTTTAAAACATAAGTTAAAAAGGTCGAGCATAAAATATTTGTCATAGTTAAAAACCGCTCTCCACATACGATAATCAATTCGATCAAGCCCGGGAGCTTTACCATTTTTCAAGTTACCAAACACTATTTCTAGATCTTCTAGTATTAAGGGGTCCACAGGGCCGATGACAGGAGAGTAGTTTAAAATTTCACTAGAAGATTGGCCTGGGAAAAAAACGTTCATTATGAATTTTATTTTATCGTTAACTGTTAAATTTGGGTCATTGTTTGGATTAACGGCAATTTCATTATTACTATTATATTTGTTGAAAACAATATTAAATAAGGTGCCGAATCGTTCGTTGTAATTTAGACAGTATGACTCCCAGGCCTTTCTTTTCGTAAACAGTAAAAGTTTTTTATATTCGGCCCTGGCCCTTCGGTAAGCTAACCCGGAGACTTGGATCGTGTCATCACTGCTACCATTGGCTTTAGATTTTAGATAAGTTTTAAAGAGTTTGCTCACCCTGTTTCGCATGGACCTAAGTTCTTCATTCCAGAAACTGAAACGTTTGGCCAATCTCTTAGGTTTCTTTTTTAAAGTTTTAAAGGCCGCCTTTTGTACCATTTCAACTAATTCATTTATTAAGGTATTGAGATAAATTCTATTGGTAATATTTTTAATTTTACGTTTAAAATGGTTTAAATTTCTACCTATATGTTTCGTAAATTTTTTTCAGACCGTGTTTCGATTTAAAATAAAAATCAGCCTCCGGAATGCATTCGGTTATTAATTGAAAATAAATATATTTATGGTCGCTATGGGATTCAACATCCAGGACCCCCCAGTTTTTAATAAAATTGCTAATACAAGTGCTTATCAAGGTTAAGTCGGGGAACCCCGAAAGAATTGAATTAATGAAGGTCGGACCATAATCAATAATATTTCTAATGCAAAGAGAAATCGAGGCCATGAACTCCGACAATCTACGACCTCGGTAGTTGTCGGAGCTATAGCCCCAGCTACAGGATCTACAATTAAAATCCCCCACCAGAAGATTAAAACTATTGTTAAAATTGTAGTCTCTAAATTCTTCAAGAATCGTGTCAATGTCCTGATGGGGGGGGGAAATAACAGTTAAAAATATTCAGTATAAAGTCATTAAAATGCAGTTCCACAACCACTGAATTAGTTGTATTGAATTTAAAAAAAGTATTAAAATTTTTGTTAAAAACATAAAGGATGGCATTTTTACTCCCAGATTCAAAGATCCTGCAGCCGAAGTCGGTTTTTGGAGGTTCCCCTTTATACAAGTATGGGTCCTGGATGGCCAGAAAATCAAGTTGAAGTTCCCCAGCGACCACGAAGGCCCCAGAGTGAGCTGCCAAGCAGTGATTGACATTAATCTGGATACCTCTTAAAGAATTAAAATCCATAATCGGTCCTCCGCATAACTATTTCTTTTTGTTTAGTTAAAACATTACAGTTACGGTCTAGGCAACTATGATCCGTTTTGTAATTAGTTCTCACTTTTCTATTGGATTCTCTACAATTTATGCAATTATTCCCCCTGCACCGATGGTTTTCCTCTTTAACCTCTCCGCATTTGTCGCAGAGTTGTTTATTAGCTGGGTCACACCCCTTTGCGGCGTGTCCAAAAGCAAAGCACTTCTTACATTGTTTAACCGATATAAACTCCGATAATCTTAATCTGGAAAAATGAAAATAAAGTCCCTCTTTGTTCTTAAAGTCATCATATTTCTTGGGGTTAATGGATAATACCCAGTGGTTGAATCTAATGTCCCGAGCTGGTATACTAAATTCAATTTTAAAATGCGGTTTGTTGTTCCCATCCGCTAGGGTAATATTCTTGGCCATAAGGCCCACTTTCAATTCACCTTCCCCAATCTCCTTGGGGACATTGTAAAGTATGAACTGTGGGGATCTGCGATTGGGAGTGATAAAATCAAATTTTTCCAAATTCTCCTTCTCACCATGTTCCATTAACGTCTCTTTAATTACTGTAATATCGTCCGGGGAGGCTGCAATAAATGTAACCCATGAACGGTTTTTTAACAGCGTTTCCAGTGAAGAAACACTTGCAACGAGCATGAGAAAAAATTTACTTCCCATGCCGGGAGTCTATCCCGGGCCGCCTGGGTGAGAGCCAGGAACCCTGACCGCTATACCACATGGGACACAATCCCGGTTTGTAACAGGAATGGAAAATTCTCAACTCTACAAAACGAATTTTAAAATTGGTAGAATGCTTCAGATTCGGCAATTTATTAAAAAAAGTTCTTGTACGCTATGGACGTTTGTTTAACAGCGTTTTCAGCGTTGAAACAAATGGAACACGCATTAGAAAAAACTTTGTTCCCACGCCGGGAGTCGATCCCGGGCCGCTTGAGTGAGAGTCAGGAATCCTGATCGCTAGACCACGTGGGACACAAACACGCGTTGAAACAGGAAAGGAAAAGTTTTCCTTTCTACACATCGTATTCTAAAATCGGTAGACTACTTAAGATTCGGCAATTGTTTAAAAAAATGTCTTGTACGACATCGACGGTTGTTTAGAGCGTTTTTAGCGTTGAAACGCTTGCAACACGTATCAGAAAAAACTTAGTTCCCATGCCGGGTGTTGAACCCGGGCCGCCAAGATGATAGTCAGGAATCCAGACCGCTTGACCAAATGGGATACGAACACGCTTTGAAAGAGGAATGGAAAATTTTCATTTCTACACATCGTATTCTAAAATCGGTAGACTGCTTAAGATTCGTCAATTTATAAAGAAAGGTCTTGTACCCTTTGAACGGGTGTTTAACAGCGTTTCCATCGTTGAAACGCTTGCAACGTGCATCAGAAAAAAATTTACT